GGGGGGAGGTGTGGCTTCCACCGCTGCGCACACCCCTGGGGCAGGCATAGGGGGTGTGTGCCCCCAGATGTGTGCGTGGGGCAAGGGCAGGCTGCTGCTGCAGGGTGGGGCTGGGGGCAGTGCCAGGCTCTTCCCAGCAAGGGGTTGGGCTAGGACTAGACCTGGGGGAGGCAGCAGTGACACTTGGGTGAAGGGGGGTTACTGGGGCTACAGCCACCCCAAAATTCATCACAGCCCACCCCCCATAGACTCCCCTCCCAGTGCTGCTGCCACCTGCCCCAAGCATAGCCCCAGTGCCACCCCTGGCAGCTCACTATCGCCCCACACACAGATCAGGGGGTACACGTCTCCCATGGCTCCCCCAGGGGTGTGCATAGCAAAGTTCCCTCTAAGGTGTAGAGATCTATGCGCGCCACTTCAGTCCATTCCCAAATTGGTCCTGCCTTCCCCTGTCAGCATGTGCTGCTTTGATCCAAAGCCTTCATCAGTTGCTCTAGTGTCTTGAGTCTCTTGGAGAAAAAAGTGTTTTCGCGCTCTTTATCTCAGTGGTAATGGGAAACATTTTACCTTCATTTTCCCATTTGTGCATGCCATTATCACCTGTGTGTCCATGGTCATTTCTTTCTTCCACTGTTTCCCAGCTGCTGTCAGGACCTTGGACTGGAAATCTGAGTCCCTCCACGCTGCCCGCTTTTAAATCACATGCTCTTCTCTGTGGTTTCAGCCACTGCCCCTCACAGAGCCCTGTGATAAGAGAGCCTCTGTTTGGGCTGTAGCAACTTGGATCTTTATTTTAAGTGCTGTGGGCTCAGTGCTGCTCTTCTCAACTGCTCAGCGTTGTTGCAAAGTTTCCCAAGCACCTGGCGTTTGCCGGTGTCACCTTCCAAATCATCCCTCCACCCAACCCTGCAACTCGTGTTCCAACCTGCAGAGAACCTGCAGGGTTGTTACACAAAGGAGCTACTGGGGGGAAGCCAGCACCAGGCTGCCTGTGCAGAAGGGTCTGATGGTAGCACCAGGTTGACTGCACCTTGATCCTGCCCGTCCTTGCCCCGTGCAAAGATTGGGGGCTGGACTGGGCCATGTGCCCTCACTTGGCTGCCTGCGCCACACGTCTGGAGAGGCTGCTTGTCTCTGGGCCGGGTTGTGGGGCAATCAGAGCCCAGCAGCTCATCCAGGGGCATGGTGTGGGGAGCCAGAGAGGGGTGGAATGTGCTCCCCCTATCCCGTGGTGCATGCAGCTGCGGGAGCTGCATCCGCCCGCCCACCCCCCTGGCCAAACTGCCAGGCTCCGATTGCCCCAAACCGTCCAGGGCCCCATTCATGGTGAACTGGCCCCTGGCCAGGCGAGGTCGTGGGACAATCCCCACAGTGCAGGAGGGAGTGGGGCAGCACCCTGCCCCTTCCGCACTCCCTCCTCCCCTGTGGGGGTCTCAATCTGCTTTCCCCTGCCCCCCCAAGCCCAGTGAAACTTACCTGCCTGTGTCTGCGATCCTGGTTGGGAGTGTGCGCCCCTCCCCTCTCCTGCAGTTGCCTGTGGCTGGGTTGGGGCAGGTGCGTGGCATTAAAAAGTTACTGCGCACAAGATTTTTTCTTGTGCGCAGCCGCGCATGCATGCAGCTTAGAGGGAACTTTTTCACATAGCAGTGGGATCTGCCCCCCCTCCCCGCGGCCCCCC